TAAAGTAAAGTAAAGTAAAGTAAAGTAAAGTAAAGTAGCAGATAATTTCAGATAAATTGCATATTTAGACAGCTTGTTGTCAGCAGATTTATCATATTTACCTCAAAGTGGACGTGACCTGTTGAGAGGATGGTTAGCTGATATCAGTGGAGATCAGGTTCATTCAATAACCAAGTTTACAAAGAACATTTTCTAAGTTTTGACTGGTAAATATTTATTATTATTGATGACAGTAAGAAATAATAAATATACTTTATTAGTTGAAGTCAAAATTTTTCAACTAAAATGACTGAATTTGTGGCAGTTGGTGCTTGTCACCTGCACCTTCCTAACTGGCCACCGGCTGATGGAGCTCACCTGCAGCAGGTTTCCTTCATGAGCTCCAGGGCTTTATCAGACGGCGCTGAAGATCTGGTCCTCGCCGGAGCAACACGTACCCAGGGTATTTGTCCTGGCTATTCAGTTTGTTAATTACCCTGAGTTACTTACTCGTGTTTTTCCATGTTTAGTGATCACCTGTGCTCACCTGTGCTCACCTGTGGACCACAAGCTGTCTGAGAAGAACCTGCCTCTTGCTCACCTGCCTGTCTGCCTCCAACCTTCACCTCACCTCCTTGGATKACAACCTCCTCCTCCGAGTCGCTCTCACCTCCCTCTCCTGTAAGAAATCTCTACATAAACTCTGTTTACAATCAATATTTCACCTCCAACAAATCCTCACCTCGTCTCCTTCCTTTGCAGCCCTGGAACCACTTCAAGATTCACACTGTAAATAAAAACACACCTTTTAATCAGTCTCCTGTGTCYGTTCCTCTTTACATCGCTCACCTTTGACTGTAAACCTGATAGAATTCAGGTTAGATCATTGTTATTTATAAATTAAATATTTTCTGGTATATATCTGCTGTTTTACATGATTGTTGAATGAAATTAACATAATTAACAGTTATTGTAAAAATATTGCAAATGTTCACGCCACAGATTCAGTTGCTGTGAATCTATGATGACTGTGAGCCGTTTGGTCGCCATCTTTGCTCCGCCATGTTGTCCCAGATGCTAACAGTGGACGGGGTAGGAAGGGCTCACTCTAGTGTTATTTAACTCTAGGTTCCTAACGTATAACTACCACTCGTGAAACTGAAAAATGATCACATCTACAGCTCTTTAACACTTACAGTTGATCTGAGATGGCTTCTGGTAACTGACATTAGCCAAATGTCTCTTAACTCAGTCAGTTTAGCAGACTTTCAGTGCAAATGTGATGTGGTAGTAGCTGAGAGTCATTCACAACACATACGTGTTTCCATCCAGTTGTAGAGTGAATTTTTATCGAACTTTTCAAAATTCGCAAAAAATTTAATAAAAATTTGAATCTAGACTGTTTCCATCCGTTTCTCTCTCGACTGTTTGATGCAAATAAACGAGGCTACGCAACGCGTGATTACGTCAGACAAGGCTACGCAATGCGTAATTACATCAGACAAGGCTACGCAATGCGTGATTACGTCAGACAAGGCTACACAATGCGCGCTTACGTCAGACAAGGCTACGCAATGCGTGATTACGTCAGACGAGGCTACGCAACGCACGACTACGTCAGACAAGGCTACGCAACGCGTGATTACGTCAGACGAGGCTACGTAACGCGTGATTATGTCAGACGAGGCTATGCAACGCGTGTTTACGTTAGACGAGGCTACGTAACGCGTGATTACATCAGACGAGGCTATGCAATGCGTG